TTCAGAGATGTGACAACAGTGCAAAATACAATTTCAACTTTGGCTCCAAAAGTTGTGTTTTCCCTAAGCATAACCAAGAAAGCAGATAAGGCCAGAGTAATCACTAACACAACTCTACATCATTTGTCAGACCTGCGCCTGCCAACATTAAACGAAGACTAAACGCCAACTTAGGTTCCTATGTTCCTAAGAGATCAGGCTAGTTTCCTGCTCTCTCAAGGGTAATCAATAACAATGGATTTTGCAGGGTTATTTTTTCCTTTGAATAGCACAACCCTTCAACTACACCTTAAGGAAGTTACTAAAGCGTACACAAAGGCAGCAGAACACCATTGGCTCTGTAAGATCTGTGAAAGAAAAATATAGTGTGACTGACAGCTGTTACAAAAGAAAAGCTACCAGGGTGAATGTTACCTTGGGAGAAATGAGCCAATAAATGTGCAGCCTTATGCTTTCATTAAGGCCCTTCTTGCTATTCCTAGAACAGTACTGATTTACAGAAAGAAAAAAAGAAATACAAACAAATACCACCAGTGGTGGAAGAGGGGCATAGCCTCCTTCGCTTAAAGTTGCCATCAGACGGGACACAGGTGGAGGAGGAAAAACAGGATGTCCACTAATGCCCCAAATTCTTACTTTCTAATACTGATGGGAGAAAAAACTTAAGCTGCCTTTGCATCACAGCACCTAAACACAGCTTAGTCTTCTCTCTACATCTCTCTACATCTTCCTCTGCTTGAATGTTGCTCAGGACAGTTTCATTGGATGAAAATCTAAGGGAGGATAAGGGTACAGGAGACCTGGCAGTTTCAAAATACAAGATATCAGGGTAACAACCTCAAATGATGTCAATGGAAAGGAAGGCAGGTAAGAGTAAAAAGGGACTAACCTTATTGACAAAGAGCTTTCCCTGTCTGAGATAAACAGAACCAATTTTACTCTTCAGCTCAGTCTCCTTCAAGAAGCTGCACTTTCTGAAGTTAACACCATGTTTTTGCAGACAGTGTCTGCTGCTGGAAGCGGTAACGCCCGATGTTTACCGTTATTGCTTGGGATTGGTATGCAGAAAGGCTCTTGCTAATACTTGCTCCTATAATGATCAAGGTCACTGCTAGATCTTACGTGTCATGCTGGGAGCACTGGGAAGGGTCACAAGGAACTTAAATGTTGCACCTCTGGGGAGGAATGGACAGGAGAGGTGACCAACAATAGTACTGCATTCCATATACATCATATTCAAAATAAATCCGAGGGATCACAAGGGTTAAGTTCTCCTCTTCAATGGGCAGCATCTGAGGAAGACTCTGTTTATCTTCTGCCTTTGATCCTGAGTCCAGCTCCTGTGTCCAGTTCCCCTCTGCCACTGAGCCTGGACCTTCACCAGTGCTCCCGCTCTGCAGCATCAGTGGGGATTGCTATCAGGGAGGGAGTCAAACTCAATCTCAATTTTGTGCATATAACTATATAATTTTTTTAATTGTTTTATTAAAGCTCTTTTCTCATCTGTAGGTCTCTCTGCCTTATTCCATTTCCCTTCCCTTTTGGGGGAAGAGAATGCCTGTCAGCTTTTAGTGACCATCCCAGCCCTAACCCTCGACAGAGCTCTTCAGTAACTCCAGAAAAGAAAAGCATGTAAGTAATGGAAGCGAGGACAGCTTATTTAATAATTAAGTAGGAGCAACAAAAGAACACCGGGATCATACCAGAACAAAAAGAGGAAAACAAAATAAACAACAGTTGACAGAAGTAAGCAGATATTGCTCTGTAAGTGCACCTGTATTAAGAGAAAAAAACAAGCGGAGCATTAGTTGTGCAAGATGGAAGAAAAGCAACTGACAGCTGATGACATTAGAAATGAACTGTTCGATGGCTGTTTTCACTGCAGTATTCCCTAGTGATGCCAACTCTGAGCAACTATATTCACATCACTGACAAAGAAAGATCCCTGCCTAGGAAAAGAAAAGAATGGTTAGAACATAAGCTTTCTGAAGTTCAATGTTCACAAGTTCTCTGGGCTCCAAAGACTTGTCTATAAAATATAATTAAAACTGATATATTGGTTTTATATTAATATGATACATTAAAAATGTAGCCTCAAAAACAGTAGCAGTTACATTTGAATTGGCAAGCTGAAATCCCTATTTTTAAACAGAAAGACAGGAACGAAGAGAAGCAGCAAAAACTTCTTGACCTGATACAAGACCATGTATTTTTAATTTAAAAAAATATTTTCGAACAAGTACTCAAACTATACTCATTTATGCTTTCCACAGTAACTGATGGAAGTCAGCTGAGAACAAGATATGTTAAAACTTTCTTTCTTCCACAATTGTGTAATGAAAAAGCAACAGATTAAGTATCTTTATCTTGATATCTGACTATCAAAGGACACTCTTATAAGCAAGATAAACACAGTTCAGATGAAACTATTACTGTATGAATGCAGAACTAGCTAGAATTATCAGGAAGGAGAAAACACAAAATCATAGTTTACTGTCAGAACCAAAAGCTGTAAGAATGTTCTAGGATCAGTTCCACGGATATTCTAACAAGTTGATGAAATCAACAGACAATAAGGAGTTTAAGCGCCTCACACATCTGCTGGAGGACAATATATTAAAACTTAAAAAAATGATCTTGAGAATTTAGAAAGTTGTCCAGAAAAATACAACATTTAATAATAATAAGTAAAGGAGTCATTTAAAATTCAAGTCTGAATCAGTCAATGCAGCAAACACAACCTCAGATTTTTGACACCTTGAACACTGTAACAGCAACCATCTATTCCATATCGTTTAATTGCCTCACACTATTTACCTCAATTTTTTTCCCCTGACACAAGGAGGATGATGGCACCACCAAGAGGGTGTTAGATTGAAAAACAAAAACAAACAAACAAACCCTCCTCTCCCCTAAATTCATTCTTGACTTCAGATCTATGAATCTTCTCCATATTCCATTAAACTCTTTGATTCAGGGATTTGACAATCTTTAGCAATTTAGAAGGGAAAAACACTGCCATCTTCTGGAACACGTGAAGCTAGTAGTTCTCTGCCTGCCTTCTGCTCCTACATTGCCTTCCATGCACTGAAAAGTAACCTCAGGGACTCAGCAGGTCACCATCAGTTGCTGTTTTTAGAAATACAAGCAAAAGGCTACAGTAGCATACCACTTGCAAAATTAATCTGGCCTAAGTTCAGTGGCAGCATGAATCAGGCCCATCCATCCATCCCACCAAATTCTACACACTTAAATGTACAAATTCTGAACAGAAAACCTCTGTAAAGGCAGGAGTGGGACCAGAAACCAAATATAGCAACTTATTCCCATTAAAAGTATAGCAGACTGAATGAAGTCAAGTTGTAGGTGACTTCATGCTTACAGTTTTCAAATCTTTCTGCTATCATATTGGTTTTGTTGTCAAGGATCTGTGTTACAGTCATCTGTTTTCATCCAACAGCCTTCAAGAAGCAGCTTCTGAGAATGTAGCAAATGCTCTATCAGTATAACCTGGTCAGGCATACACCTCTGGTTCTACACCAAACTGGTAACAGTCCATAATGAGGCATGCTGTATCTACAAAGGCATATAAAATTAACTGCTTTCCCCCCAATTCTGTTAGTTACAACAGTATCCCCAACACATTATCAGAAGTGCTTTACAACAAGAATAGCCAGTTATCAAGTAACTTGGGACACATCTAGTAATAAAAGCTCATACTGCAGGCAAGCTGCAAAGCAGTGCTATATACAGAAAGACTCTTCCATTTCCCTGGTAACACCAGCTGCTCTCACGGTGCTCAGCCTCAGGGTAACTGGAAACTACCTTAAGGATCTAGTGCCCCGTTCATGTCAGCTGCTGCCCAGCCCAAGGATGTAGCTCCGTTTCATTCTTTTTTCAAATGGATTACATCTGAAGTAGGACATGACAGAGCTGCAAATGCTTTAAAATTAGTATTCTAATACTGACTACATACAGAATACATTCATACCTTTTCTTATTAATGCATCTTGGAATACTGCAGTCTATATGCCATAGCTGTTTAATCATTCCTCTGCAAAAAAGCACAACTACCGAAACAGAAGCAATGATGTCAGAAGGTTTCCATGGTCAGAGAAGCATCAGTACAGCACAAGGAAGGGCTGAATCAGGATGAAAGCAAGCTGACAGACTATTAGTATCAGCAGGATGAAAGAGATAGCAGACAAGTCTAGAGATACAGGCAAATTTTTAGATGCCACTACTGGGATGCAAGTGCTGTTATTTCCTTCTTCTGACCATGTGAACGAAACGAATAGTTTATTATGCCTAACACTATTTCTTACATCACCTAAGAATTTCAGGCAATTTCATGCCTTTGTCATCTTCATACTGGAAAGGTATTCTGCTTAGCTTCCTGAAGCTTCTTAAGGGCTTTACCTGGTTAGGAATAACTGACCTAAAATACAAATTTCACCAGAATATTTTAAAAATACTTTGAAAAGATGAAAAAAAAGTGGGTTCCCCCTATACTTTTAGTTTAATTCTACAGTATTTGGTTTCCTTTTATTCTGCAACTGCAGTTGACTTTCACAGAAATATATTAGATGTCAATGTCCAAATTCAGCTTTTGGGTAAACTCAAGAAAAAGGATTCTGGAGTTTTTTGGCCATCATACCTCAGATTCGCTTTGAACACTACATGTCATGATGTGACATAACCTTAGAAAAGAATGACTTAACGCACCTTAGTTAAAAAAAAAATTATTAAAAATTTAGTATCTTCTATTCAACATTCAGTTTATTTTCTAAAATAAAAAAATGCACATTTGTAATATACATAGTTTGATTCTTACCAAAGACATGTTTATAAATATTTTTTTTCCTTTTAATAAAGATCTCTACAGTCCAAATCCTAAAGGCCAATCTGCCTGATTAGTTTTTAGGCAAACAGATTCCCATGAAGACAATGTACATCTGTATTCTTTCAAGTGCTGGAAAGCAAATGTACCTGCAGAACCAGCCATCTGGCTAAATCAAGTTTAAGAGTTTCATTATTCATACAAAAGTAACAAAATTCCAGTCTTTGTAGTCTTCTGATGATTTCCACGTGAAAGAAATGCAGAAATAGGTATTTATGCATCAGTAATTGCACTAGGAGAAAATGCCATATTTCTTCTCCAATTCTCCAACAGAAGGATCTTTCAATCCCATGTGCTTCATATGATTGAACAATACTTGTGTAACTGTAAAAAAAAAAATCCCAATGTCAATCAGTATTTGAGTTATTTTGTTAAGGTAAATTAGTCCAATTCTTTTCTCAGTGAGAGTAAGGGTTGGATTATATAGCTGAAATACGAATAAATTTTTAGAACTACTTAAAGGATGAAAAATAGCAAAGCAAAGCTCTCCTTTTGATGTCCAAGTATTGCCTAAAAACATTTCCTTAAACAGGTATATCATCCTGACAACATCAACAGACAGCTTTTATTTTGCTTACTATCTTGGTACTATGCCATTAAACACAGAAGATGAAAGTTAAAGCCAGATGGCAGATAAAGCTTACATCAGGTTAAAGGCATAATGCAATTCAGAAAAAGAATCTACTTGCACTTCAGTAAGTCAAACAAGTTATTTTATGGACATTCACATACCAAAATTTTGAATTATAATGGTTATTAGTTAAACTCAGCTGTAGACAGTAAATTTGACATTATTTGGTCCCAGAGGAATGTTTGAGTGTCTTACTGTCACATAGTCTGTCTGGTGTGCTAAATAAATGATTGAGCCAAAACCCACTGGTTTATAAAATAAACCATGAACTCAAGCCGGTGTCAACCTGGATTGCAAACTACTTTAAGTGATTTCTCAAGAACAGGACAGACAGCTGAGTGGTTTAAAGACATGCATTCTTTTTGCCAACAGTGAAGTCAGGATTACTAAGCAATGGTTGTGAACTGCAGAAACTGTGTAATTTAGATACCTTGCATCTCAGACACAAGGTTTCATACAAATTCATAAAATTTGTAACATTACTAGCTACAAACTGAAACCCTAGAGAATCTCACTTGAGCAGACTAAAATGCAGTGGTATTACTGATAAAACCAAGAGGATTTAGCTGTAGTTGTCAAGTCTTAATGATTAATAAAGAAACAAACCATTAAGAAAAATTACACGACATTCATATTAACTTCTAACACAATCAAAAAGCTAGACAACTAACTAATCCTAACTGATTATTACATGGAATAAACAACAAGAATAGCACTAAATTTTACATATTTCCTGCTAGATTCTATAGCATCACAGAGTGATTTTTTAAAAAGACACTACAGAATTACTCACTTTTTTTCTCCGAGCCTGACATAAACATTACTGCCATATCAAATCTTTTTAATTCAGATAGCCTCTGGAGGATTTGAAGGATGAGTGATGGCTCCTCTTTCCTGAAGATTATTAGAAATATAAAAATAACTACCATTGATTAGAAAGATTCAGTAGCTGCAAGCAATATTAAAGACTTCAGGAACAAAAAATTAAAGAACCAATGGAATTCCCTTCTGTCTCATGCTCTCTGACTTTCTCATCTTTACTATATTCTTCCACCCACGAAGCAAAAAGCCAGTATCCAGAAATAATCATGCAAGCATCATTCTGATACAGAGGGAAGAGTGAAGAAATATAAAAGCCTAACTGATGCAAACAAACCACTGTTCATGTACAGATAAGCTATTATATGATTCAATGCTTACATCTTGTCCTAACGCTATTTCTACGTACGTGCATGAGGATAAGTCGCTCCTGTGGTCATAGGAAGCTCAGCAAAAAGCACATTACAGTTGCCATAATTTTTAACCATACAGAATGTTCCTAGACTGTGTTCTTTCTACATTCCTCTGGTCAACAGTAAACTGGCACTCTTTGTTACAAATACTAACAAAAAAAAAAAAAACACTGTTCTTTCAGAACATGGCCTGTCTCCCTCCAGAAGAAACATCTTTTACCTTACTGCAAACAATTTCAATTTCCTAGCCTTTACATGTCATACCACCAAATGTAGAACCGTATCTCTTAAGATATCATGTTTCACTCACATAATGGATATTTATTTTTAAAGGAACTGAGGGAAAGGCTAACATCGATTTCCATTTGCTTTTCTCCATAAAACACCCTAAAAATGTTCTGAAAGTATACTCTCAGACAGAGTAATTCAGAGAAGTGGTGCACTGTCTCTGAGAGCCCAAATGAACTTCAAGACTCAAGTGGCAGCATGGATAGAAATTCCAAGAATTACTAGGTCCTGCCTTATGAGAACTTCTAGCTCCAATACATATTTACTACAGGCTATTGTAAAATGCTAGCAGGTAATTAAAAATAAAAATTGGAATGTATCACAATAAGCATTGCACAAGAATGAAACCCTCTGTATTTCTCAGTTTTAGAAAGTTTACATAGAAAGCTATTACTGTGCAATTATACATGATAACAGAACATGCACAGTAATATGAACAAAAATTATTTCATAGAGCCTATCATTCAGTTTACAATGTTATTCAGCAGATTTCAACAACATACAGTAAAGGCTACTTATCTTTACCTCTTTTTTTCCATGTGATTTTTCAAGACATGTCCAATTGCTTAAGAAATAACAATTGAAACATTCCAATTATTGCACCATGTTCATGCTGCATGCTGGAAAGAATTTTGTAAGCCCAAAGGCAGGTAGAAAATAAAATTTAAAAAAACAAAAAGCCCAAACAAAGAGAAGAGCAATAAGCAATGTAAAATAAAGGAGTTAAACTTACTCAATGTAGAAATCATGTAGAATTTTCAGTATCTGGTTAAACAAGTCTGGATCTAAGGATTTCTGGAACAGTTTTGCATAAAGTGAAGGCTCTATTTGCTTTGGGAAAAAAAAGCAAATGTTACTTTTAGGCAAAAAAATACACTTCAGCCATGAGAATTAGAAGTGAGTTTTTAGGATGTCTTGGGTAACGCTGAAGTGTATGAAAGCACTTCCACTATTTGATGCTGAACACGAGTTTTGGGTTTTGTCTGTTCTTTTATTTTTTTGGTAATGATTCATAACTTCTCTTTAAAAAGAACTTTGAGCAACTTTTTGCAGAAATACATAAAAGCATAAGTACCCATCAGACTGGTGTGCTTCAAACATTTGTTAAATTTAAAGAGGTAAGAATGTTGCCATGTCTAATTGCCCTCAAAGCACTAATTTGAAAAAGTTCAACATGATTACATTTAAATCTTTACAGAATTAGGGCCAGTGTTTGGAAAAAGAGACAGATTATGCAGAGACCATACTTCAAATAAGGTAAGTGAAAAGTCAGGCACAAGTGAATTCTGAAACGTGGATCAAACTACTTAGTATTATGTGAAGGCAATTAAAGAAATGGACTAATGTTCACTGTTAAGATGCTCTAACAATAGCCATCCTTTTGGCTTAAGTTTGCACTGTTTCTTCAATGACAACTGAAGAAACTGTCCAAGCCCTGTCAGTCAACACCGTGTTTCATACCTTCAGGTATAAGTACATGTTTTCCGGGCAGTCTTTCAACTTCCTGAAGTCAGACTCAAGCTGGAAAGAATTTGCAGGAACAGCAGGGACTGGAGAAGCAGGGCTCAATGACCTTCTGATTTCATTTTCCCTTTGTTTGTCCGCAGGGAAAGATGGATAAAACATTGATGAACTTCCTTTCCCACTAGCAGGAAGCCTACAGACAGATTTCGAAATATGTAATCAAGAAACCATTTAAGGAAATCCTACACCAAGACCTAACCAGAGATCTTTCACAGAATCACAGAATGTCAGGGGTTGGAAAGGACCTCAAAAGATGGTCTAGACCAGCCCCCCTGCCAGAGCAGGATCACCTACAGTAGGTCCCACAGGAACACGTCCAGACGAGCTTTGAATGTCTCCAGAGAAGGAGACTCCACAACCTCCCTGGGCAGCCTGTGCCAGTGCTCTGTCATCCTCACAGGGAAAAAGTTTTTTCTAATATTTTTGTGGAAACTAAAAATCTAAAATACTAAGAAAATTTTGTAGAATACTATATCTTGGTTTAAGCAGCTATCTAAAAAAAGGCCCTTCAAATTATGGAAGCTTTATACTTGATTAATCTCTTCTCAAAGAACAAACTATCAAGTATTGACAAATACACTCAGCCCTTCTCTACATTGTTTCTGGAAATAACTGCATTTCCTGGTACAGATTTCTATTATACTTGGCTGCAAAACAAATAAAGTACATTTTCTGCAATTTCACAATGAAAAACAATAACCATGTCAAACAAATAAACAGTTTTCAACACTGATTACAGTGGAGTCCTATAATTTGTCAGTTAATTTATTTTTCAGAAGATATAAAATGGCTAAGAAATACACTTTTTTCTTCAGCACTTCACAGTAAATACTTCTGAGCTGTAAAGAGTGGGTGTCGGAGTGTGTTTCTCATAGAAATTCTTCCATCAGAGCTCCATAAAAAGTAAGTACTATTAACAGAATGATATGATGCCAAAGCATACAGAGCTCTCCTAAGCAGACAAGACATAGAGTTCCAACAGTTGGCAGGGATAAAGTCTGGACAGTGGCTTGTACGTCTCAGCCTAGTTCCAGCCACCCAGAATTGAGCTTGCCCAGCTAACACAGTGGAACTTGGGAACTGTGAGCAAACTTGAAGTTACTGTCTGCCTGCTCAGCAGAGAGAGAGGTAACGCTCTTATCGGGTCCTCCACTCTCACACAACTGGTGTGCAAAGAATGACTGAACTCTACTCAGAATCTACCCTAAAGCATTACAAATAAAAATCACAGTTAGGGATGACAAAGGTACACAAGAAATAGAATATGGCAAATAGGAAAATATTATGAACTTCTTTGAAATGAAATGACAAGACTAGTTTTCCATCTGACACTAAATAGAACACAGTTGTCACAAGCACTACGTGATCAAAGAGGCAGACGTGTAAGAACTGTAGTTTCATTCAGTATTTTCTCTTTAATTCAAATTCTCCAAAGTACCTCCTCACATATAAATCTGAAAACGAAGACAACATTTCAACTACATTTACCTTTTAAGAAGAGGATCAGAATATTTATACTTACTGCAATGGTGATGTATCACTGATTTCTTCTATTTTCAAGTGCTTTGCTTTTGGAATGTCCATTGTAGTCAATTGATCATCCTGACCTAGATTTTCTCTTGTTTCAACACTCATTGAATTCCTCCAGTTATTGATTAAAGAAGTAGTGCTGGGCATATCACTCTCTGGTGTGTCATCATCAACTTCCTCAATAGCTATTCTTCGCAAAGGCTTCTAAATAGAACACAGATCTCACATCACATGTGTATCCTCAGCATCAGTGTATATGCAAGCCACAGAAAAAAAGCAGTGTTTAATTTTAAATAAACTCATGATAACCAGTTTCATTTGTAGTGGTGCACATGGAAGATACTTTCAAAAAAGGTAAGTGGCAAAAAAGAAAACTATGTGATATTCTACAGGAAGCCTTGTATGACGATTTTATTGCTTTACTCTCATGAGTCAGTGTATCCTTAATCTAGAGGATCTCAGAATCTGCATTCTGTTTTCCTAGTAATTACAAAAAACAAAAGTCGTTTCGGATTTTTCTCCCCACTACTAAGGCTGAATAGGTAAGGATTACCATCTATTTTGACCAATTACCTGGTCAAGCTTTGTAATTTAGCTACACAAGTAAGTATCTAGCAACACAGGCCTTGACACTCAACTTAAAAATTCGAGATGGTAAAAGTCTGTAACTCAGGCCTGCTGGCTGACCAAGTTAAACACATCATGAAGCCAATTACTTCCACCACTATAGTATACATTAACTAAAATCACAGAATCGTAGAATGTTTCAGGATGGAAGGAGCCTTTAAATGTCATCTAGTTCAATGCCTTTGCAGAGAGCAGGGACACCTTCAGCTAGACCAGGTTGCTCAGAGCCCTGTCCAATCTGGCTTTGAATGTTTCCAGGGATGGGACTTCTATCTATCACATCTCTGGACAACCTGTTCCAGTGTTTGCATACCATCATTGTAAAAAAAAAAAAAATCTTCCTCATATCTAGTTTAAATCTATCTTCTTGTGGTTTAAAACCACTATGACTTGTCCTATCGCAACACGCCCTGCTAAAAAGATTGTCCCCACCTTTCTTATAAACCCCTTTTAAGTATTGAATGGCCACAGTATGGTCACCTCAGAGCCTTCTCTTCTCCAGGCTGAACAATCCCAATTCTCTTAGTCTGTCCTCACAGGAGAGGTGCTCCAGCCCTCTGATCACTTTTGTGGCTCTCCTCTGGACCTGCTCAAGCAGGTCCATTTCTTCCTTGTGCTAAGGACTCCAGAGCCAGACAGAGTGCTCCAGGTGAGGTCTCACCAGAGCAGAGTGGTAGAATCACCAACTTTGACCTGCTGGCCACATTGCTTTTGATGCAGTCCAGGACAAAGTTGGCCTTCTGGGATGTAAGCACATTGCTGGCCCATGCCCAGCTTTTCATTTACCAGTACTCCCAAATCCTTCTCTGCAGGGTTGCTCCAAATCTTTTCACTCCCTAGCCTATACTGATAGTCGAAGGTGCCCCAACCCAAGTGCAGGACCTTGCCCTTGGCCTTGTTGAACCTCATGAGGTTCATACAGGCCTACTTCTCAAGCTTGTCCAGGTCCTCCCCCTTGGGAGGTCCCTCGCCTCATGTATCAACCGCACCACTCACTGCAAACTTGCTAAGGGCGCACTCAAACTCACTGCTTCAGCTTTTTTAGTGTCAATTTTAGTGACAATTACTGTTGACCATCACCTAGCACCATCTTCACAGGTCTTAGAAGGAAACAGAAGGATCACTTTTACCGTGAAATTTCACTTCCTGAACATGAACACAGAATATATTTGTCTAGATATAAAGATGCAAATTGGATATGCTCAGCAATCCAGAAACCGCAGATTTCAACTCTACTGCCATGGCATCATAAAGCCTTCATAGCAGTTCGCAAACAGCTTTAAACCATGTCAAAGAAATCTTGTTTTGGTGCACTGACAGCTAATACATGGTTTGCTTTGACAACATACCATCTTATCACTGTGCTACGACTGGAAAGCTGTCTCATTGACACAAAAAAAATTACAGTTCTCTCTGCAACCCTTGGGCAGTACTAAAACCTCAGATGCTTCATCCATACTTGTTCTACCCTAACAGAATAATAAAAAAAAAAATAAATCATCCTAGTATCTCCACTTAATTTAGCTGCTAAACTGAAAACTTAATATAATTGCCTATAGTATTTCAGCTACTTCACAATAAATTTAGGTTTATATTCACATGGTTATAATGAGTCCATAATACTTCCCCCTGGCCCACACCACAGAAAAAGGATCAGAATAATCACATATTTTCTACTAAAACTATTTGTCTGAATTCTATGTTTAATGGAGGTAAACAAACATTTTGAAATCAAGAGCAGGACACTACAGTACTCCATACAACTCAATTATTAAATGTACTAAAAGGGGAAGCCTAATACATAACGAAACTCATGTTATTCTCCATACTATCATATTTTGTCATAAATCATTAATCTGACTATAACCACTGTTAATTCATAGTCCTAAAAATACTGCTTTTTGAAAACCAATACCAAGATACACTACAGTTTATGTGGATGAAAATGCAGGCTCAAGACTCTTGCAATAGCCTCAGGTGACACCAGCAGGTGACATGGGTAGACAAGTTGTCCTGTTACCACTACAGCTGCTACAGAAAAGGTAAACAGCAATCAAAAAGAAGAGAAGTTTACCCGGAGCTTTCTCAAGTCTCCAGTCAACCACAGAGACTTAACTGCCTCCTTTTTACCCTCAACTGCAATGTCAGCTATGGACCCAGGACAAAGATGTGGGGTTGCCTCCTCATTTCATGTTCTAGATACAGGCACACACCACATTTCCTCAGTGTGGTACTACTGTCTGAAAACGCTATGGTTACCTACACATGGAAATATTGAAGTTATGCTATTGAAAAAAATATAAAAAGAGCAAATCTGTAAGTTTTGGGCTTTCCATAGGCAAAATAGATATATCAGGAGTTAGCTTACATAAATAAGAAGCAGATTTTAAGCTCTACTTTCCCCATCATTACAGAAAGCAATTCACAAAACAACTTACTGTTGATTTCACGTGTAATGGATTATCAATCAGTTTCACTATGTTTTTTATTTCCGTTTCTTTTATCAATACTGCAGGATATTCCTGGTGAGTCTGCTGTTCCTTCTCAGCTAACTCCTGCAAAATGATAAGTTGCCCAAAAAAATCAGAATTTGCAGAATAAATACAACTTATGTTTAATATTATGCAATAAGAATGAAAACACTTTATTACTACAGGCTTAAACAAACAGTAAGGCAGAAGTATACTTACATTCCTTATTTTAGTGAGTTCATTTATTGCTTGTTTATTTCCAGGTTCCAGCTTCAGAACAGCTTCAAAATCTGAATGAAAAACAACATATGAAAACTGTAGACATTTCTAGTTACAAAGTACTCCTTGCAAATTTTTAAATCTTCTATTTTATTTTCACAGGTCTAAAACAATTAAAGGCAATTAAGTCACCCTAATGCTTACACCACAATGCAGTTTTTAAACACAGTTTTCAAACTACTTCTTACTATTTATCATAAACAACAATAGCTGTAATTTCCACAAAAGTTTTTACACATATTCAGTGAAACATAAAAAAGCTCTGCCATTCTTAACTTCTGCACCGATAACCTTAATTAATCAGCAATAGTCTAGTATGAGAAGATTTTAAAAAAAATATATCAGGATGTCCTTGTACTCATATCCATCATCACACTTAAGCTAATTCAAAGTCCTACCTTGCATAGCTTCTTTTAGCTTTCCAAGAGCAACTCTGGCAGCTCCTCTTCTGGCAAAGGCTTTAGAATAGGAGGCATCTAAGAGCAGAGCTTGTGTACAGTCTGTTTCTGCCTCTTCATATCTCAGCAAAACAGTAGCACAAAATTAATAATCAGTCGCAAGAGTGCCTTTCAACTGAAAGGCAGAGATAACTAAAAAATTAAAAACTGATAACAGATCTTAATTACCTATGTACCTATAAATACACATCACTGAGCTAAACTGTAAAAATAAGGTTAAATATATAAAATATGATTTCTCAGCACCTTGAAATTTCAGCCAAAACTTTTGCTATCATGACACATTGCTGACTCTTTTATCATCACGGAGAAATTCACTTGCTCTGTGAAAATAAATCCTTAAACCCTGTCAGAGTCCACTTTAAACATTAAATAGCCTTAAAATGAAAGTCAGCAACATTTCTGTGCTTCTGAAAACCAGAAATACTACTATAAACAAAAGAGAAGCAGGCATATATGAGAATAAATTCCTCTACATCTCAATTTCTGTGACTGTTCCTTAACTATTTCACAATAAGTCAGTACAATAATGTCAGTATAACCTTGCATTAATTTGTTTCACTGTAAGACCATATTTCTTCATCCAAGTTACATTTATTTATATGATTCCACTATGTGTATATTAATGTATTTTCATTCAATCCTCTTTTCCTCTTTCAATCTATCACTAAATTTATGCAAACAGTATCTTTTTTCATGTTCTTATCTGTTCTAGAGGTTTATAAGAATATCAGTGAGCTTCTGCTGCATTTTATGTTTGGGCCCTCTTTGAAAGGTAAAGACCCATGATACACTGATTTATCATACAGAATTAATTCTCTTGCGTGGTCATTCAATTAAAGTTATCACTTTATCTGATCCTCCGAGAACATTATTTGCATTGTGATGTCCTCCATGGCTTCAGCACTAAATTATAAATGTTGTGTCAGAAATACTACCTGTACAACCAACTTTATAATCTCATAATTTCAGATCAGGATATTGTCTCTACGAACGGGCAGACATGCCACGTTAGAACAGATGATCAACATATGCTCAGCTCTTTCCTTCTCATGTCACCAGTTTTAAACCACTATATCATCCGTGAGTAAAAAAAAAAAAAAAATCAGACTTCAAAACCAGTTACATGGAATTTCTCTTATTTGCTAGAAAGTATGCATTTCCTCCTGTTACTTGAACAAAGATTCCTTAAAAACAAGCTAACTACACATACTCCATTAATGTAGTTAAAAAAAAAAAAAAAAAATCAAACAAACAAACTTTAAAAAGATGACAATTTCCAGAAAAAGCTCCTATCCATTCCCTTTGAAGACAGAAGTAATAATCCTCTTCTTTTTATGGTGCAAAATTTAGTAGCTGACTGGATTTTCTAGTAAAAAAGACATTAAAGCTTTGGTCAGGTCCTTTGAGAAAAGTGAGTATTTAGAATTTCACATACATAAAAGAATGAAAATCAAACTTTAGAAACTATAATTTCATACTGATGCTATTTTACTCTTTCAGAGCTTCCTACCTACGAAATGCATTGTAAGATCATACGTATCAAGTTGTTCTCTCTCCCTTGCTGTTTTTATTCTGATTTATTTTATACTGAATTCTGAAAAGAACTAGGAGTGACAGTAACATAACCTGAATGAAAAATCTGCTAGATCATTCTTCTGTCGAGTTCACGACAAAGAAACAGTACAGCACATGCAATCCTACTTACTTTTCAATCTTCAGGTAGGCCATGGCTCTGTTAGCTGGCAGAAGCGCATTGGTGCCATCTGCTGCTATACCACGGGTATAACATTCTATAGCAGCCTCGTACTTTCCTTCTTTGAAATAACCATTACCCTGTAATATTTAGGTTAGAGAAAAACACCATGGAGAAAGACGTAGTGCAATGACCTTCCCTTACGCTTTTTAGTAGACAGGGTCACAATATCAGGAAGATGGATCACAAAGAACACCCACATCAGGGAAGATATTTATGGTCTATTTCTTCCTAACTAAGCTTAGAGGCGGATCACAAAAAATAACTAAATTTTTTGTCCTAGCACTTCAAGGATTAAAAAATAAATAAATCATGCTACATACATAATGTAAGTGCAGACTTACAAGTCTGTTATTTGCGATTTATCTTTACTCATGACGTGCAGGACAAACTGCCCTGCACCTCCTGAATTTAAATGTAAGCTGTACAAAGCTGAACCTTCACAATTCCCCTTTCAAGACTACTTTCCGCACTGCGCAAATCTGTCTTTATGCTGCCACATCCATGAAACTGTTATCCTCAAACATCACTTTGGCCCAGATGTTGCTGTTACTGTCTAATTAACACTCCAGACAACAAAATTAATTACTTTTTATGCCTGCTTCAAAAAGACTAAAATTATCTTCTGCGTCTCAGTGCCTGAGAAACTGAGTATGAGCCAGCAACATGTGCCCGCAGGCCGGACAGTCAATCACATCTTGGGCTGTATCAAACGAAACATGGCCAGCACATTGATTCTGCCCCTCTGCTCTTCTGAGACCCCACCCGCAATACCGTGCTCAGCTCTGGGGCCCCCAACAAAAGAAGGACATGGACCTGTTGGAGTGAGTCCAAAAGAGGGACACAAAGATGATCACGGGTCTAGAGCACCTGCCCTGTGAGGACAGGCTGAGGGAGCTGGGGCTGTTCAGCCTGGAAAAGATAAGGCTCAGGGCAGACCTAACAGTGGCCCTCCAGTACTTAAAGGGGGGCCACAGGAAAGATGGGGAGGGGCTCTTCATCATCGAGTGCAGTGATAGGACAAAGGGTAATGCTTTCAAACTAAAAGAGAGTAGATTTAGATGTGATAGATTAAATATAAGGAGTAAATTCTTTACTATGAGGGTGGGGAAATACTGGAACAGGTTGCCCAGGGAAGCTGTGGATGCCCCCTCCCTGAAAGTGTTCAAGACCAGGCTGGGTGGGGCTTTGCACACCCTGGTCTAGTGGGAGATGTCCCTGCCCAAGGCAGGAGTGTCAGAACTAGATGATCTTTTAGGTCCTTTCCAACCCAAACAATTCTATGATTCTATGGTTATCTTCTTTGCTACTATTCACTCAATGGAAAAAAGCAAAGGCCACTGTTGAGACTTGGCAGAATCATGTTGCCAGTAACAGACCCATAGTGAGTCAACTCTGCTACCAACGAAGTACTGCACTAGACTGAAATTTCTCTTCTATGGCCTCTTTAAACTTTTGTTCCTTTTACCTACTTAATTTATGCTATCATTCTTCTCCTACTAATTACCTCTTATAACCAGTATAGGAAACCTAAATATTGATAAAAAGTCAGAAGTTAATAGCTATGCAAGAAAACAAAGAAAATTATGTTTTAGTTTATGTTATTTCTCAATTGTAAAAGTGGTAGAAGGCGAAATCAATAAGTCAATGGTGAGTCAAGACCATGTATCCAGAAATACATTTTTACCGTCATTGTCACCTACGCTCCCTGATGTTCTTTTTGTAACTGCTTTTCACCATGTAATTAGGTTCGAAAACACAAGAAACAGTCCACAATTGGACAATACTGGAGAAATGGTATTCTGTAAAACACAGTTCAAGTTCTACTTGAAATTTACATAGAATTTGGGCAGTAGAAATCTATCTTGTATAATTATTCCTCCAGAAGAGTCCAAACAGAAGTCGTTGTCCTGCACCCCCGCCAGAGCCCCAAGAGGGAAACAATTAAGGTTATATCAGGACATTGTATTTAGGACGTTCAAGACAGTATTAGGTTTAATTTACACATTTGCATAGCTAACTTTTTGCATAGCTACTTTTCTTCACTAGTTCTCTTCATGTTCCACAGAAACCTGCAGAACTTACCAGATCTTTTTCTGTAATAGCTTTCTGCTTAAGCTGCTCATCTTCAATGCGCTTCTTCTCTTCATCTGTTAATTCTGGTCTGACTGCAACTTCAAACTCTTTCTTCTCTGAACTTTCATTTGACAATAGAGCCTGCAAAGACGCATTTTCCTCAATAAGTATTTTCCCCACTTACACATTTTCAGAACATAAATTATGATATATTCTAAACTTTTAAGACGCAAATATGTGCCAAGCATTTTAAAAGAAGTGTCTGTGTTACAAGTTCAGTGCAAATTGAAATGATCATTCTAAATCTTCTCAAAAATGTATTTCTGAGGGACTGTGAGTCAGAATATAACTTGGCAAATAAGTATGCTGTTTCTAAAGCATAATGTAAAATGATCCATGGAATATGTCTATATATACTTCAATTCACAAATGATTTCACTATGATTTCACTTACTGGAAACTTCGTGTCTTCATTCTGAAAATTAATTTTTCAAGCACTTTCAAAACTGCACTTGAAGAGGTGTAAGCATATTCACACAGTAATAACAGGTGAGCTTATACATACTACATTCATCATAATCAACATTCTCTCCCTGTCATGAAAGCAATCAGACTTGCAGTAGACTACTATGTTTTGTTAGGCTTAAAACCACATTTTCTGGTTTGGCAGACCACAACAAGTGTCACTACAAGCAGACTACCAGCTCAGGTTTACAGCCAAGAGAAAGCAAAGGTTCTCATATGTAGTGTTACCTTGAACCAGAATGCCAAGCTGAATTCAGTTCTTGTTATACATATAAGATGGTACAGATATAAACTGAATAGGGTGTATTAATTTCTGTCACGGTCTATTAATCTTATTACCTGATTTATTTTCTTCAGTTCATTTTTTGCTTCAAAGTTGCTTGCATCCAGCTCTAAAACCTTCTCATAATCTATCAGAGGATCAGAAAAGAACATTTCAGGTAGGAACTATAGGCTACTAACCAGAGTATAACATAAAAGCATTCTTTTTTGTAGTTACCCAAGAAGCCTGAGATATTGCAAGGAACACCTTATTCCAACATATTTAAAGCTGATTTATTCTAGAACTACTAATACTCATAGTAATCATTTGGACTTGCTGCTTGAATTTTACCTTGCCAGAAGAATGGGCAATATGGTATTTCATCTTTGTTCACAAGAAATTAAAACTAAAATCCTACACCAAACAAGCAAATCACAAAAGCTTTAATCAAGCAGATAAACCAACAGTTTCTCTGCATTTTAAGGAAAAAATTTTTTAAAGACTCACCTTCTTTAGCACCCTGAAGATTTTTCAAAGCAAAGCGAGCAGCTCCTCTTCTTGCATAAGCCTTTGTGTAATTTTTATCTAAAGCAAGTGCTAAATTGCAGTCAGATTCTGCAACAGAAAATCTATCAAAAAATATTCTGAATTAGTTTGGACACATCTAGGTAACAAAACCCCAAACTTGAGCAATTTAGCTTACTCCGAAGCTCTGCAGGTTCTCCCTTGAGTGGAAATCTTACATGCTCCAGAAGGGGCATAGAACAAGTATATAAACATCTCCAGATTAAAGAATACATCAAAACAGGAAAGGAAAACAGAGGTCAACAATCTCTACTGCAACAGAAAGAATAATCAACTCCCCTATACCCTTTCTCCCCCTACACAAATCAAAGCCTTAGAAATAGAGCTCGCTGAATCTGAAAGGCAAATTAGAGAAGGTTCTTTTTCTTTGTTTTGGGGATTTTTTTTCCACCCCTCTAAGTTTTACACTGCAACACAGAAGATGATGAACTTCTAGCATAAAAGCAGAGGGAAAAAAAAATGACAGACTACCAGATTCCTTGTCCTGGTGATTTCTATTTTGCTTTGAAACTCCAATGCAGTTTGAAAGAGCGGTCTTACACAGACTGTATCACAGCATGATATATAATATAATCAAAACTTAAAACCAGACAAAAAAAGAATCTGAAGGTAGCATTTCAAAGCAGAAAATATTACAGATTTAACAATACAAGTCTTACTTTTTCATTCTATAAAAAGCCGATGCTCTGTTTGTGGGCAATACTGGATTGTAAGGATCAGAATGCATCCCTCTAGTGTAGCACTTTATAGCTTCATCAAAGTTCCCCTGTTTAAAGTAGTTATTGCCCTGTGAACAGAAAAGAGTTCTTCCAGCAAAAGTTTCTTTTAAGTAAAATATTTTAAGTATCCCATACTAAATATTTCTAATCATTTATACAATAATAGAGCTTTATTATATACTAGTTTTCAATATCGGTAGGTCATTTCCAGAAACCTGTAACAAGCACTTACGTAGTTGCTTAAATTGCCACAGGGAACTACTGAAGTTGGGGGTTTCCGTAATAAGATTTTGCATCTTTGCTTTCTAAAGTAAATATTCTCATTTCTCTCTCCTCTGGGACTCAATTTACGTCCTGTGCCCTCAACTGCTTCACTGCAGCCAAGATGATAATGGTCAAACACATTTCAATTTCTCAGCGTAGACTGCAGATTACCCATAAAGAAATTCCCACAGTAGCAGGAAAAGAACACAGAATCACAGAATGTCAGGGGTGGGAAGGGCCCTCTGAAGACCATCTAGTCCAACCACCCTGCCGAAGCAGGATCACCTGGAGTAGCTCACACAGAAACATATCCACGTGAGTCTTGGAAAGTCTCCAGAGAAGGAGACTTCACAGCCTCTCTGGGCAGCCTGCTCCAGTGCTCTGTCACCCTCACAAGAAAGAAATATTTCCTTATGCTTAGGTTGAACCTCCTGTTTTCCAGTTTGTGACCACTGCTCCTTGCCCTGTCAACACACATCTCGCCCATGCAGACAATTAGAAAAAGAAGCTCAGATAATCTACTGAAAAGTATGGACTTAATAATGGTATTAGGGGATTGCTTATAAACACAGACATTTCTCAGAGTCACAGAAGTTGCCATTCAACTTGGACTATTTCACATGGCAAAGAAACACGAGATAGGCCTCGCCATATTCCATCTGCAAAACAGAATCTGTAAAACTGAATTTGTAAAACAGAGTTTGAAAAACTGAAGTGGTATGAACCTGCCACTACCAGGGCAAGGAAGACGTACAAGTTGACTCATCATTCCCCCATGGACTCGCAACAGTATCTTAAATTTCTGGGGATTTAGTTTGGGGCATTCAGACCTCGTGTTCAGTTTTATCCATATGGCAGTTCTATACAGCAATCCAACTTCTCAAAGCAAACAAAACCCACCAATATATTAATCATCATAAACACACATTGAGCTGAGTCTTATAGGCTTTTGCTGAGATGAAAAAGAACCAGAAATGCAATAAGAATTTTCTATTTTGGAAAAACAGGCAGGAAAACAGGCATAAAAAAGTCCAAATAGACAATTCTTCCCCCAGAAGCGTGGTCTCAAGTGGACTGTCTTTTAAAAGAAACTACATATGCTCCTATGCCCATATTGCTACTTTGCAAATAACAAACATTTATAATGCCACAACCTTTTCCTTCTCTACAAGAGCCTTTTCTGCATCTATACGGATTCCATCTTCTTCAGAGTCTGATTCTGGAGATAAAGAATCATGAGTACTATCTTCTTTATCAAGTTCTTCAAGTATTTTATCCTGAAATCAGATAAAATGAACTATTACCTTTGTCGTAATTTAACAATGCAAAATAATACAAGACTTTAGGACCTTTAGTACTGTGCTTTTAAACATCTCCACTGCTTAAGTCCGTTTCACTAAGGAGTACTCCACACTTTAAAACGAAGAGATCTATTCTTTACTACTGCCAGCTGTATTTAGACTTATTACAGAACCACAGAATGTTTGGGGTTGGAAAGGACCTCAAAAGACCTTCTAGTACAACTACCCAGCCAGAATAGGATCACCTAGAGTAGGTTACACAGGAACACATCAGGTGGGTTTTGAATGTCTCCAGAGGAGCCTCCACAACCTCCCTGGGCAGCCTGTGCCAGTGCTGTCACCCTCACAGTGAAAAAGGTTTTCCTAATGCTTTTGTGGAACCTCCTGTGCTCCAGCTTGCACCTGTTCTCCTACAATTAGGAGCTTTTAATAGACAATCATTAAACCATATTTTTTTCCTTAAAGTCAAATTCACTCTGCTGGATCAGAGATCTGCCAATTTAAAACTCAGGTATTTCTCAACACTTTCTATTTTAAACATAGAAGCTTTTTGGAAGAAAGGTACTTTCTATGTTCACAGAGTACCCAGCATAATAAGATAGTGACTTGTGGACCCTCAGCACTATAACAAAATCTTATTTCAAACATAACCAACTAGGGAAGAGATTCAGTTAACAAGCAAATATTCCAACCTACCACATCAAGTTTTCCCCAGGCTTCATAATCATAAGACTTGATCTTGTTTTTCTTGTTCTCCTCAGTGGTTATTTTTGAAGGGACTTTACTTTTGCTTTTCTTCTTTTTCTTAAAGGCCTTGTTTCGAATTGGTGGCAAATTCTAAAGTGAAATAAATAATTTATTATAAAACACGTGTGTGAAAGTCACTTGTACTGAAGAACCTATAGTACCTATCTGCTGGCTAGTTTTATTTGAGATTGTTTACTTATTAAGTAATACTGATGCTGCCAACAGAAATATTCTCCTAGATCTACTCTGAATTGACTCAAAACTTGCTGGTCCCATCACCTCCAGAGGCTACTGCGCCACAGCTCTGCTGGTGAAACAGTTTGCAGAGGAATCTTTGGTCTGCTTCAGATGAGGAGCAAGTCAGCTGGGTTAGCTCATACTTTCTATTCAGATATTTTAAGTCAATAAACGTAACTTGTCTGAAGCAAAAAGCAATTATCACAACACACTATTACATTACGAATAGCTGAGTTAATATTGCCACTGGATTTATAATCTTTACCTCTTCTGGGACACCACTCTGTTTCCTTAGTTCAGAATCCACTTCTTTAATATCTTTTTCCCAGCTCTCCAATTCTCTCATAAAATCTTGCAGCTCTTCAGCATTTTGCTTCATTTGCAGCTGTAGTTCTAGAGCTTTATTTGGTGCACTCATTGTAATCTGCCAATTTTCAAGGGAAAAAAGCTTTCTGAAGAGAATTTGAAAACACGTGCTGAAGGCAGTTTGCTACTTCAAAACGAACAAATCTGACTTCCACGCAAGACAAGCTTCCCAGTAGCATAGCAGAAATCTTAAATACCAAAAGACTAAGAATACTCACAATTTAAACAAACTTTGAAAAAATGAAGGGAAGTCATGTTATTCAGAAAAATAAAGTATATCTTAACAAACAAGTCATGCTTTTCTAACTAAGTGTAAGGTAAAGTTATTTTATTATGAAGTCTGGTGAATTACAAGTCCAGCATATTGTTTGAATGGGCTTTTTTTACACTTCTGTAGCCCTCCAAGGCCTCAAAATACTGTTGAGTAATTCTTAATACTTAACAGTCATAAACTTTGCTGTTTTAATTTTGGTGTTTTAAGTGAAAGACTTATTATCACGGAAGTCTCAAGCCATGAGTAAAAAGAATCTTGGTTACAACTCAGAAAACACACATCTACATTTGAACAGCGTACAAAACAAAGAGCAGAAAGGATGAAGCAAACACACCTTTGAGACAATCACAATTTAAGTAATTCATCATGAACAAATATAAGCTTAAGTAAAAAAAAAGGGATGAATGGTTGATAACTTCTTGACTGAAAGCTTCAGGATCAGTTACAATCCTCATACAGAGATAGTACACATAAAATCTTTGAGGGAGAAAAGGACTAGATCGTTTATTTACTTTTAACATTCTGCAAGATGATAACCTAAGAGCATAGAAACATCAAAAAGTACTGGCCAAAGCTAATGATCTTGGCAATACAATGCACTGTCCATAATTATGAACAAGAGTCTCATAAAAGAAAAATACACTCTAGTGAACTAATGCTACCAAAGC